GCTCAAAGGATCTGAGCCAGGAGGCACCTTTTCTCACATATAAACAAATCCTGACTTTATTTATTTATTTAATTTATTTATTTATTTGCAGAACCGGGGATTGAACTCAGGCCCTTGCGCTTGCCAGGGAAGCACTTATTTCACTGAGCCATCTCCCCAGCCCCCTACAAATTGTGACTTTAAAAAAGTATGTTTATCTTCATTATGGTAAACCTCAAGTGGTGTTCCTCATACTCGAAAGACTTAGTACTCGAATCTACCAGGTAGGAAAAGGTGCACTCAGAAACATGGAACCCCGTCTGCCTGGAGACACGGGTGCACCTATTAGAGCAAGCACTGCTGTGAGCGCTGCGTCTTTTCTGACTGCTACAGTTCATATCCAGACGTTTCCCAAGAGCTTCATGCACTCAAGTGTGGCTTTCGGAAGTGCCGTCACTGACTGTCAGGACCGGGTTGAAGGTGGGTCACGAGGGGCCTGATCTGGAAGAGTGGATCTCCCCTGACTCATTCCTTCTCTCTGCTTCCTGGACACCATGACATGCGCAGCTGTCCCCCGCCCCATCCCTCTGCCATGCTGTCCTGCCCTGAAGCTAGTAGGCTGGGGGCTGAGCTACAATAAACCCCTCCTTTGGGTTGCAAGAAAAGAGAATAGGGCCTGACTGCTTAACAGGTTTGCGGGGTTTCCTCTTGTAACCCGATACAGCTGATAGCTGCACCGGTTTGTTCCAAACGCCAATGAGTCAAGCCCGTTCCAATGGTTAATGGCTCTTCTACATGAGGTGCATCTTACACCTCCATGAAAAACAAATTACCAGAAAAGTAAAAGGCAGTAAACACAATTTTATTCTGTCAAGCAGCTGCAAGTTTCTACTTATCTTCAGTTTCTTTCTTACTCCTGCTCTTAAAACCCCCACAGACCTGCACCAGCCTGCCGCTGGAGACCAGTATCTTAGGTGCCACCTGTCTCGCTCACTCAGAGACGCAGCCGTCCCAAATGGACCCCAAGGCACATCCTGAGCCAGCAAAGGCTCCCTCTACCAGGTCACTGCCTCTAGCACTCAGACCTACCCTAATATGTCCCTTATTTAATAGAAGAGGTATGGAGGGACAGATAGCCCGTGAACCCCACCTGCCCCAGGGCAGCTGCTCCATGAGCCTGTCACTTCCAACAGCTGACTGTCAGTCCCAGCGTCACCTCCACACCTGTCAGCATTGTTTGGCTCACTGCATTACTTCCTTTACTTAGTTTCCAAACTATATATTCATTTTTTTGGGTGATTTTATCATATTTACCTCAAATAGCATCTGCACACTGAGATCTCTAATTTTCATTTCTAACAAGGACGCTTCCTCTTGACTGCAGACTCTGTATATCAAAGTCCTACTTGACAATCAGCATGAATGACGCATGAACATCTCAAATCTAACAGGTGCAAAATTAATCTAATTGCCACCACCTCTTTTTCTCATGGTCATTTTTACTTCAACAAATGGAAATTTGGTCAGGTCAAAAATTCTGGCGTAATCCTAATTCACCCTTTTTGTTGTCCTCCAACCCATCAGCTAATCTTGGTTCTATCTTCGAAACAGATCAAAATGGAGCCACTTGTCACTCCTGCTGTGCTCTCACACTAACTCACTATCGTCTTTTGCCGGAAGTTCTGCAAGAGCCTTCTAACTGGCTGCCCTGTTCCTACCTCTGCATACCTTGACTCATACTGAGACAGCAACTAGGATGATCTTTAAAAATCACAAGGCAATGAATAAATGAATAAATAAATAAATAAATAAAGCTTTTAAAAAAATAAAATACATGCACAGTGCAGACACATCGCCCTCTGCTCAGCGCCTCCAGCCACCTGAAGCAAGGCCACAGTTCCTACAGCGGCTGACAATGTCCACTTGACCCAGCCCACCATAGCTCCCAGCTACGGGCAACTTCTCGGGGTATGAAAACTAGAGGGAATGGCTCTGATTTTCTTTTAATAAAGAAAAACATCATATAGTAACTGCATGGCAAAAGAAAATCTCCTCTTGAGATTCTTTGCTCTTCAACATTCTATTTTCATCTTTTCTGTCTTCAGTAGGACCAGAGGAAAACAGTGAACTTGGACTCATTTCTTTGGATGCTAAACTTACCTTTACAGAAATTGAAGAAACATAAATTCACTAAAGTAACACTTTAAAGAAAACATTAAGCCTATTTAAAACATGGTTCTTCAAATAATTTAGAAGCTCCCACTTAGAATAACTGATGCATGACTTAGAAATTATAACTTATTTATTGAAGCAAGCAACCAAAGGAACTCAACTTACCTTTGATACAGATTTCTCCCATTATACTAATGTCCCTATCCCGGCATGCCACATTCTGCTTCTTGTTCAGTCCTACTGACCTAGGAAAAAGGCCAACTTGTCCCCAAAGGCTGCCCGCTTTGCCGAATGCCGCCCATGAGACTAGAGGGCCTAAAAGGACCACCTGTGGGTCTCCTCACTCTAACCTCTATTTGCCCCCTTGCCCATTTGCTTTGTGAAACTGTCCTGTACTGTGTCCCCAATAGCACATAACTACAAGTCATAAAGCTCCATTAAGAGACATCAACTGGAATTTGAGTTTCCTATTAACTTATTTCTCCACCAATTCCGAAGTAAATACAGTATAACTGAGATTTTATTGCAACAGTTCATCCCGTTTCCGTAATTGAGCTCCTGATTAATTGTCAGTGACTCAGAGGGTACCAGGAGCTTACACCTGCAGCCTCCCCACACCCACACTTCCAACCATGCATATCTCTAGAAAAGTAAGAAAGCCTAGTGATCCCTCCCGTGAACACCAGTACCACTGGCCTTTCTCCTGTAACCCCTACCCCTCTCCTGAGCCACTTCCTTCCTGCCATAAATTCAAAAGAAATTGAAGAAACGCAGATTCGTTCCTCTCTGCTCTATCAAGTGGCCTCTCATAGTTTTTCTTACTGCGCTGCTCTAAATTTAGACCTCTGTCTCAAGCACAGCAGTGCTTCTAGGAATATTCCATTATTCCAGAAGCAAGAAGTGTAGCAAATTTTTCCTGCACGTGAGTTTCATTCCTAATTTTCCATATAGACAAACATTTCTTTAACTATTTCATCTACCTGCACAGTGTGATGTGGTTCCAGCCGACAACGAGTTGGGCTTTTGCTCCCCTTACAGGGCCAACTCACTTGAAAATGTACCAAATGCGTTCATCCACTCAGCCAACAGAGGGTGAATGCAGTCATCGCAGCAGATGAAAAGGTACCTGACACGTGCCTCGGCCCTTAAGGACTTCATATCCCTCATGTTCAGAATGAGAGCAGCACCACACAGGCAGGCGCGCAGCACAGTGCATGACCGGCTGGGGGGCGCCTGTCCGCTCACGACAGGGACTAGCAAAGGAACAGTGCGCTCCGCACGGTGCGCTTCAGCTTCCCCAGCTCATGCTCTGCAGAATGCATTCCCAACACACCTTGATTTCCAAATTCAGAACCACAAAACCTCAAAACAGGGACCGGGGAGATGGCTCAGTGGAATAAGTGCTTCCATGGCAAGTGCAAGGGCCTGAGATCAATCCCCGGTTCCGCAAAAAAAAAAAAAAAAAGAATCTCAAAACACTGGGAAATTACGTTTTATTTAGTGTATTAAGGTAATGACTTCCACTAACACAGAACAGGTAGGTTATGGAAACTCATACGCTCTCCATACAGTCCAGCAACTTTAGAAAGCAACTTCTTTTACATAATACGCGGAGAGTTCCAGGAGAGCACGCTCTCTCCCAACTCACTCACTCCACTACCCTGACTTCTACCACAGCCTCGACTGCGCTTGCTTCTCACTTTCCTACATATAATGAGGAAACCTCAATATGAAGAACTTAAAAACAGCGTCTGGAAGCACAGGAGCCGTAAAAGATCTGCCTATCATCACAACACAAGTGCTTCGAAGAAGGCTGAAGCTGAAGTTGAGAAATTGAGTGCTTCAAAGTGCTTCGGTCCACTGAACATTCACTTTTTATTTTAAGGCCTTTATATCAGAGTTATTTGCATTGCTACTGCATAAACTCCGATATCTACTGTATTAAAAAATGTTTTATTATATTATTTTACTTTTCCTCCAGAAGATGAATATGCCTTCAATTTTTAAATGAGAATCTTTGGAAAACAAAGACACACAGAAATTCAGCGTGCACGCGCGCACGCGCGCACACACACACACACACACTGGACTTACCCCATATTCTGATACACAGAAATTCAGCAGGCATGCACACACACACACACACACACACACACACACACACAAACTGCACTTACCCCATATTCTGAGCTGGACATGACAGCTTCCTGTACTCCCATTACTTGGGAGGCTCAGGCATGAGGATTGCTGTGAGTTTGAAGCCAGCTGGTGCTACAAAGTGAATTCAAAGCTTGCCTAAACTGCACAGAGACACCCTCTCAAGAAAACAAAAACCCAAACAAGCCATATTCTGGGAACTAGAGATGTAACGCAGCAGCACAATGCTTAGCACGTGTGAGGCCTGGATTTGATCTCTGGCACTGGGGGAAAAGTGCCAGAAAATACATTTTCAGCTTCTGAAAGGCAGTCTCTCTGATTATCGCAGCAGTCATCCATAAAAGAAAAAAGTCCTAAGAATTAAGCCTGGTATATGTTCACAATCCTATTTACTCAGGAAGTTGAGGCGGAAGGATCCTAAATTCAAGCCCAACCTTGGCAGTTTAGCCCTGTCCTAGCTCAATGGGAGGGCACCTGTGTAGCGTCCCCACTAACACACACACACACACACACACACACACACACAGCATGCATTTACACACACAAACAACAACAGAGAATCTTCTATTTGTCTAAGTTTTACATACAACAGACTTTCCAACAAGCAGTCCGACAGGGCTGGTGACTGGCACGACTGAGTGTGGGACAGGCCGCCCCTCCCACCACAAGGCAGTCTGTACACAGACACCTACCGCTTGCTTTTGGTTCCGCATAAGATGGGCCCTCCTCAAAGGTGAAGATCTGGGACACGCTCTGGCCCAGGTAGGAGGGCGGCCCGTAGTAAGAATGCATCCTGTACTGGGAACTCATGGCGTGGCGGTTCTCCGGGTTCTTCATCTGTGAAAGAAAACAGTAGCAACGCACTGAGATCAAAGCTGCATTTTTATAATCATTACCTCCCCCCCAAAAAATAAAACCAGAACAATGGTGCACGTTTGTCTTTTCTATTCTGGGATACTCTTGAGGGGATCCCTAAATTCCCTCCTGCTAATGCTACTCACTTAACAGGAGCGCCGAGTGGGCTGGCAGTCTCTGGAAGCCAGACCCGCCTTTGGGACCCGAGGCAGCTCTCATGTAAGAAGCAGTTGTGCACAGCTTCCTGATCTGTCATCCAAAGCTCAGGAGATCTAACCTGGTGGCTCAGAAGGGGCCACTGACTTTTGTTTTTTTGGCAGAACCTGGGACTGAACTCAGGACTTTGCACTTGCCGGGCAAGCACTTACTCTACTGAGCTATCTCCCTGGTCCACCTACTTTGGATTTCCCAGATCTTCTGATGGGTTTGAAAGGACTATTTCGACAAGTATTTCAAATATTTTCCTGCGTAGACCCTGCTGATATAGATATTAAGCATTCAACTCCTAAATGTATCCTCATAGCAAGAACAGAGCTGGACTTCAATTATTATTAGATTATCATTTTGGTACAGCATCTTGTTACACAATTCAGATTCACAGTGATCCTCCTGTCTCAGCTTCCCCAATCCTGGGATTACAAGTGTGTGCCACCAGGCACCGTTTCAGTGGCCAGCTCAGCCTGGGACCAGCATGGCATGAGGTACCAGGAATTGAACCCGGGTCCTTGCGCTTGCCAGGCAGGCACTTAAACTACCGTGCTATCTCCCCAACCCTGGACTTCAATTATTTATAGTACCTTTTAACAGTTAAATTTGGATGGATTTCACTTGCTCTTCTCAGTACAGGGATAGAAACCAAAGCCTTGTGCATGCTAGGCAAGTGCTCTACCGCTTCTATCCTCAACCTTGTGGATTGCATTGACCTAAAGAAAAGTTCTTCAGGGGCCAAGGAAATGGCTCAGTGGAATAAGCACTTCCCTGGCAAGCACAAGGGTCTGAGTTCAATCCCCGGTTCCACCAAAAAAATAGAAAAAAGAAAAAGTCCTTCAAAGGCAATGTCCAAAATAAATCAATTGTGATCAAAACTAAAAAATAATTTCAAAATCATGCTTTCCAATCAAATATTTAGAATGCTACTTGATGAAATAGTATGAGCTTGACAGAACCACTTGACAAAGACAGAAGACTCTACTAACTAGACTAGCCAGAACCTGGCAGGGAAATTAGGTACCAGGTTTTCTTAATATTTTTTATGAGGAGACAACTGTCCAAATAACCCTAGCCCACGTGCACTTTGAATACTATGGCACTGGTTGGTGGAAAAGAAATCTCTGATTCCCATGGCACTTTTGAGGATTTGTTTTTGATCTTCCCAGCTCAAATTTGTGCTGTGAGGGGTGCACTCCTGCCCCACAGCAAACCAAAGACAACTCTATTACATGTGATAATTTCCTCTCAAGTGAGGTCTTCCGGGGCAAGTACCCCTTCCCTTTTCTCATTTTCTATCATCACATAAATCGTTACTAAACAAGAGGTCAAGCGAGCTGTACTTGGAAAATAGCCAGAGGGAAAGAACTGGCACCTACCCTCCTGAGAGAGCCCAGGCCGGAGGTCCACTAGGGAGCCATGACATGATTAGCAGGGAGAGTAATCAATAGTAGCAGTTTACCACGCAGAGCAGCACCCAGTTATCAATTACACCAGCACTTCCCAGTGTCCCCCGGGGCACACAAATGGCAGACGCAGTAAGCCTAACAACCTGACAAGCTCCCCAGAGAGGCTGGTTCTTTTGGTTCCCAGACTGTTCTGGTGACAAGAAGCTAAAAATTTGATCTTTTCTCTCATACTTAAGAGTCCATGACCAAAGGAGGACCAGCTAAAAAACAGCTTGTTAGCATTACAACCTTCAGATTCCAAGGGGTGGAAGCTATGTAAATAGCAAAATTCCATTTTCATTAACTTTTTTTTTTAATCTGAAAAATTTGTCAGGGTTCAAAGAATTTTTTCAGGGACAGCTGCCATGTGTGAGTGCCACAGTGGCCATAACAAGCTCCAGCTCACTCTGCACACAGACAGCTCTACCTCCAGAGACTGCCCTCAGGACCCTTATGCAGTCTTCCAGGAGCGAGCACTGGGTTAGTAGCCAAGGGGCAGGGTGTTAAGTCCAAGTGCCCTAATACAGACAACAGCCCCCCACCACCCCAGCGCTGAGCTATTCTTCCTCAGGTGTGGCAAGACTTGCAAGTCAGTTCTTCAAGGAAAAGGTTTTTTAACTTTTCCTATGTACAAGAAAACACAAGAATTGAGCCTATAGGCTCTGCAAAAACACATTTTTTTTTCTTTTTTTTGCTAAGAAAGTACATACAAAACTTTTCAGAATGTTTGACAAACGTTTGCTGTGACTCCACAGCAAGATCAGCATAGTTTTCTCTACAAAGGGTCAAAGAATAAATATTTTAGGCTTTGCAAGCCATAGATCTCTTGGCAACTGGCAACTGAATGGTCATGGCTGTGTTCCAATAAAACTTTATGCAAACATACACTGGTTCTCAGCTTCCAGCTTCTACTGCAATAAAGCAAAGGGGGATCCAAGGACTCAGGCATGGGCTTATCTCCAGTAAATCTGGTTCAGTTGGTCTGAGATGTGTCCTGTGTCGTGGATCTTCACAGAACTCCTCAGGTAATTCTAGTGTCACCGCACCTGGGAACAGTACTCTAAAGCCAATGACATAGCTCCACGCACGTCAGAAGTACAGATCTGCTATGTTAACTACAGAACACAAAAGGTCAAGTATGCCAAAAAGACTCTTCAAGTGCTGCCAATAATTGATATAAATGGTAGCACTCTAACAAAAGCTTATTAGAAAATAAACACAATTTCAAATACATGCATATTTTCGTTTTCCACCTTCATTCTTTTTCTGTTTTTAGAAAGCATCAAATACCAAGATTTATTTGGAAGCAGGAATTGGGCTACTTGTACTTAACTTCCCCAATGAATACCCAGGAACACTGAGTTACAAAAGACTTCCAGCAAAAGATAAAAAAGATACAGATGGTCAGGCTTCTTTTGAGGTTATTAAAAACATGAACTTATTGCGGTCATCAATCACTTCAGCTACAGCCAGCTCCAATAATAATCCACAAGGAAGTGTTCACACGAGAGCCTACGGGTAAGGAAAGGTAGTCTGAAGAGTTTCTCCAACACAGGAAGTTAAAAAAAGACTGACAAAGTGAGATTTTTTTAAGCTCCAGGGCACTTCCTGGTCCTTTCTCACTTAAAATATCACACAGCCCTGCCACATTTGGCTTAGACAACATGAGGAAGTAATAAAATCTCTGGAATTGCTTGTTTTACCGAAACCAGTAGCTCAACATGTGTGAGCAGCAGGACATAGCTCAGTGGCATAAGCGCCTGCCTGGCAAGCACAAGGTCCCAAGTTCGATCCCCAGTACCAAAAAAAAAGTGTGAGCAGCCACAACACTTTGGGTGTCTGGAGACATTGTCTGGAGACATTCTGCATTGCCACAGCTCAGGGGAAGGGTGTGCTACTGGTAGGCTGGCAACTAATAAAGGCAGGAGGCTGCTATGCGGGAGCACGCTCCGCACAACGAAGACTGATCCCGACAACAGCTCCCCAGTACCAAGGCTGAGAAGCCCTGCGCTGACCTCACATCCCCACTGCCTCGGCCCCTCACCTCCAGCACGGTTCCACCCAGGGTAGAGGTGTCAACAAATCAGAGAGCTGTTCAGCTATTCTTTTTTTTAAGGGTACTTTTTGTTTATTTTTAATTTTTTTATTTTTTATAGTATTCAAACAGAAAAATTACAAGTGATACAAAATTTCACTTAACAAAATAATATGAATTGCACAGTATTTGATGTCAAGTATACTATTGTCTTCCAACAATTGGAAGAAAAAAAAAAGGCAGAAGTGTATAAGAAATTAAGAGAAAAAGAACAAACAATTAGTCTATGGAAAGTGTGCTTTTTGAAGCATAAAGAAAAAGACTTTGGGAATAGATGTCATTGTGGAAACAAAGGAACACAATACAAAAGGTAATATAACTCATGGCATAGGATCACAAATGTGTAAAATAATTTCTTCAGTCAATATACATTTTGTGATCACTGCTTATTTTACACACTTCCCTAGGCACCAAAATACCAGCAATGTGTGTGTGTGTGTGTGTGTGTGTGTGTGTGCGCGTGCACGCGCGCATATTTGTTCACAAGGACAAACAGGAGCTGGGGAAAGACCTACTTTAAAGAAACTTCTCTAGTGATAGAAGGAATTACTGAGTTGAGGAGAAGGATAGGAGAGGGAGTAGGGGAAAGAGATATATCTATATATGTAAGCAGGATGGTTTGGACAGCTGTACTGTGGACTTCTGCTGGTCCATGGAAAGTAGTTAAAGATCTGTTTGTTTTGTCTCCTTTTGTCAATTATTTGCCTTTTTTCTCATCTTAATTTCTTATATACTTCTTCATTTTTTTCTTTCTTCTTCCAGTTTTGCATGCATATATCTGGTAATATGAACAACTAGCTGGAAGATAACACTATGCATTGCAGTAAATATTGTGAAATTCATTTTTATTTTAAATTTTAGGGGAGGGTCTACTGGGTGTTCAGGGCCTCACTACTACATCCACTCATAGTAATTCTCCTATGTACAGCCTCCCAAGTGCTGGGATTACAGGCACACACCACCACACCCAGTCTGAATCAGCTCACCCCCCAGGGTGGGACCGGCCCTGCAAGCCAGGAGATTGAACCCCCGGTCCCTGCACCTCCTTGCAGGCTCTTTAATCCACTGAGCTATTTGGTCAGCCCTGAAATTCATATTATTTCATTAAGTGAAATTCTGTATCATTTACAATTTTTCTGTTTTAATACTATTTTGTGCTCTTTAAAAAAACAATTTCTTTTTAAAAAATCAATTTTATTTTGTCTTTTCCCAAGCCTTCTTTTTTGCATCTT